ATTACATACTACAGATTCATTAGCAACTGACTCAGCTACAAAATCATCCTCAGATATTGGAACTAAAATAATTAATATGCACATTATTAATTAAATCATATTTTAATAATATATATATATATATATTATAGATACCAACCTGRCAACCTATAACCTCGAGCATAAATATATTAATATTTATACTTGACTCTTGTACATCCATTTCAGATGGTGAGTCTAAAAAAGTTAATACATAAAGTATATGTTAACATAAACATAAAAATTTAAAACAAAGTACCTAATGTAGTAAATTTATTATTTTTGTCATTTAAATGATATATTGTCTGGTATAATTCAGTTAAATAGAAATTTTAATTTGTTTAATAATCAAAAATTATGAATATAATAATTCAGAAACTATGTTTTTGACCTCCATTAACAATCGTAGGTTTCAATAGTTTCAACATCAATAAAAATTAAAGAACATTACCAGGTATTTCAGACTTCAGTTGTATAGATGAAATCACTTCCCTCATTACTATCAACAATTAGTTCATTAACATTTTGTTGAATAGCTAATATGGGAAATAATTTTAAAACATTACAAATAAAAAAAAAATCGATTTAATGTTATTGATTTCAATCATTATAATTGCCGTTTAAAATTTTGGTGTTTTTTGCAAAATTCTATCCAATTTTTGTTTTTATATTATGCCTTTGTTTTTTTTTTTTACAAGCTGTTGTGTGTCTGTTCCAATTAGTATCATTTTGTGTGACACGCTTTTGATCACAAAACTCACGTTAATTATTCATTTTTTTTTCACAACACAATTTACATTATAACAAAAATAAAACAATAACTATACAATTAAATGCAACAAGCAGTAATAACTAAAAATTAGTAATAAATTAATAACTGTATGAGTACAAGTAGTACAACTGTATAATTCAGTGCAAAATGAAGTTGACGATTGACCCAGGCAATAAGCATCAACAGCTCGACACGACGACACGACCACTAATAAAATAGTAAATTAAAAAAAAACCAATATATTGTTGAATGTTGGTCATTATCTATATCGACTATATATTTAGATGTTATAACCACAGAATAAATAATAACTGCCGTTAAGAGTACGTATGTAGGTAACAGGTAAATACCTACGGCAGAGACGGATTTACACAATTGCCGCCGCTAGACAAATTTTTTTTGCCGCCCCATTACGACTTAGTAAAAAAACAAAAATATGTAATATTTATATAAACGAAATATGTAATCTATGGTTAGTATTTAGATAATAGATAATATACGTTCCGGCAGTCGTTCGATTATTTACTTGGACGTTTATTGTTATGTATTAGTATTATAAAATAATGAAGAAATCTTATTAACAAGAATATTATGTTATACAAAAAATATTAAACATTTTCATTTTCCATCCTTCAAAGTAATCACCGTACATAAAAAAATCAAAAAGAAACCTAGAGTATATTTTCAATAAAATATTGGCCTAAAATTTGCCGCCCTAGGCAACTGCCTACTTTGCCTGACGCTAAATCCGCCACTGACCAACGGTATTTGTTGTCTCCGTCTTACCAGTGCGTATAATATAGCAAATTTACGCTCAGCAGAACATTTGTAGCTCCTTTAGTTTAAAAATTACAGTGAATCGACCTATTATGAAACTTGATGATAAGTACATTATCTGTGTTTGTACTTTGGTTTTTTACGATAATTCAATTTTTAAGTGAGTTATGAGCATTTTTAAATTTTTAATGTACTGTTTATTACCTATATGCTCATAACTCACTTAAAAATTGAATTATCGTAAAAAACCAACGTACAAACATAGAGATAATGTTCTTACCATCAAGTTTCATAATAGGTCGATTCACTGTAATTTTTAAACTAAAGGAGCTACAGCCTACAAGTGTTCTTCTGAGCGTAAATTTGCTATATTACGCACTGGTAAGACGGAGACAACAAATACCACTGTTACGCACTCTTAACATCAAATTGCACAGACGGGTATCTACGGTAATGCCGTCGATTAGGAATTCTGTATTTTTGCAACTATTTCTATAACCTTCACCACGCCACTGGCTGGCATTTAATTTAATTTTTAGTTTGTAGACCATATAGGTGCCTGGTGCACATACGACATAAGTCAAATCGTAGCACAAACCTTAGATCATATACGATGTGATATACGATATGATCTAAGGCACAAACTTGTACATTCATTCGTGGTGCACATTGTGCGTGTCATGGTGCACATTAAAATAGGGCCTGGGTTGTATATCATATCTACAATATTTTAATTAACTCAAATATTATTAATTATCAACCATTTTTGCCTTTTGGTATAAATATAAAAATATTTATTAGGCAGCTACATTTAATCAATGCAAGCACATGTTAGTGCTCTATATTTTATTTACTAATATAATCATAACTTATAATAATACATTAATTTTTTAACTAATCATTTATTAAGCTGCTTCGGCTTATCGGCTTATAAGGTACCTTCTACTTTTTAATTTTAAAAATCTATTAATTGCTTTGTCTAAGTCGATTTTGTTAACGTCTTTATTTATACCGCTATAATCATTAAATCACTTAATCGGTAATTATAATGCTCATTGAATATCTCAGTAAAGCTTTTACTCTTTTGAGTGAAGAAAAAAACCTTTCGTTAGAGGCAGTACTCACTGAAACAGTGTTAACAATTTGATGTACCTATCTTGATTTTTCTGAAAATGTTGTTGGTAGATAGTTGTTTGAATGTATGAATAATTGAGTTAAATTTCTGTTGTCGGTAAAATAACTGGAATGTATTGGCTACAAATATTATAGTATTTTTATTTGTAATTAGGCTTTTAACATATTTTATTCATATCATATCAATATTGTTTTAAGTCAAATAGATTAACTTGAGTAGTTGAGTATATGCCTAAATAGTAATTTGTAAGCCAACTATATTTTACTATTTTACTACCTACTAAAAACTTTATATTAGGATTTAATAAAAAGTAGAAGTTGTCTAAGCGGTTATCATTGTTGGTAATTACCAGCTAATAGATACTATAACTAATTTATTGTTATTTTAAAATGTACTTACTATAATTGACGAGTGACGACTAATTTTGATCTATACTGACTATACTGTAGGTCAGTATAGCATTAAGATGATGTTTCATTCATTTTTTTAGCTTGCACAAACAAGCAACTTCACCTTCTCTCTTCTTTTCAATTTAACATTCGTGATTAATTGTAATCAATTGTAAAAAATAATTTGGTTCAATAAATGTAATACTTACATAAATATTAAATAATAATCAATAAATCATTGACGTAATATGCGCGTACTGCGTATTGTACATTTAGAGTTTTATAGGCAGATACCAACAGGCAACAATTAAATATCAGCATTCCGCAATTTACGTAAATTACGTTAGATGTGGAAACTACGAACAGAATCTTTTATTGATATATTTACATTTCATTAAAGTGATTATTTAATTAATATTTTTTCAAAATAATTTTTCTATGACTAGAAGAAGACGTATATTTCAGTAAGATAGGTTTTCAGATTTGACTGATTTGTGTATGTTTTAAAATAATAGATAGCATATAAAAAAGGCGAAGCACGGAATTGAGTAGGTATAATAATATACGATTATAATAATATTATTGTTCTATAGGTAGTTATTGTTTTAAAATAGAACATAATACATACATCACCAAGTGCTTCACCATTTTTTAAATCTTTTATACAAAATAATACTTCATTATTAGGGGAAGTGGATTTGACAGAAATAATGGAGACTAGAAGTGGACTATTTATAGAAACGCAAACACGTAAGTAGAGTGCTGCATCATGGTTTGGTTATTGTTTGGCCTAATATGGTGTACAACCTTATTGTTTATCGCACTGAAGTTTAAATTTCAACATAATTCATCGAAATTCATGAAAATAATTATACAGTGTGTTTCTGAAGTGTGTGAGGTAATTAGTATACGCATACTCTCTGTGATGTCACAATGAAGATTTTTTTGGAATTTTTTTTCTAACTCCAAAATCTGGGTTTTTTTATGTTATTTTTAGAATTTTATCTTGAATTTAAAAATTAACACTAGTCGTATTTTTTGCAAAATTCTCATACGAATCGAGATATCGCATCATTTTTGTGCTTGTCGCGCGTTTTTCGCGCTCGAATCGCTAACTAAAAAAAAAGTCGTGTGACACATCGATTTGTATGAGAATACTGCAAGATAACCAGCGGTGATAATTATTTGTTGTCATTGATAATACACAATTAATTAATACATTGTTTTACATTGTCGACTAATAAAAAATATGAAATAATAACAAAATTAGGGTGAACAGAGTTTTAAACGATCAAATTTATTTTAATACATTTATGTAATACCTTTATTAAATAACTTTTAACTTTATAAATTTATAATAGTTAGAGAGTATATTTTTAAATATCATCTTTTTATTTACTATAATTTCTATGGTGGGTGGGTAATTCATAATCGTAAGATTAATTATTTAATTATCCTACGATTACGGCCGTTATCGGCAACGACTCGCGAGTTGTATTGAGGACGGTGGCGGGAGGGGTTACCCATACAAGTGCAAAAAAATATAAGATTTTTAGTATTAGGATATTACGGCCGGTGACCGTACGGTTTATATATTAAGTCTTAAATGATAATAATATAAAGTTTATAACACTTAATTATTATAAAACGCGGGCGCCCATGACATTAACATATAAAATATGGTATAATAATAATTGTAGGTACGTATAATAATCAGTATATATAGGCATTTATAATATAATATAAATAAGATTGAGTACAATGACCTCAAATGCCGCAGTTTATAACAAATATATAATAATAATGAAACACTAATAATTGGGCATTAAGGTCGTAATATACAAACAATAATTTTAAATGGCCACTGAACACGAGTGGACACAGTATGAGTTGTATGATAATATATGACCTGATTGCAACAGCACTGGACAATCTGGTCCCTTGATGCAGAACGACAACTGCAGCTAATGGGGACTAGCTCTTCGTTGACGAATTCAAACGAGAATTAAACTTAGCTTGGTACAAGCTTGACACACCCGATTATAAGTTCGAAGTGGAAAAATGACACCACGTGATCACACGAGATTTTTTGCAACACACAAAGACGGTGAACGAGCACGACGTTGTGCTCAGTTCGACCGTTGGAAAAAGACAAAAACTCGCAGACGCCAGGTTGGCTGGCGGCTCGGTCATCGGCTGACGAACTGTCACCGGACAGTGGAGAGGGGAGCTTTGCCGGACCTGTGTTATCGAGCAAACATAAATAGGTGGCCAAAAAAACAGTTCCGCGATCGAACAAATTACATACATTACATAGAAAAAAAAGTATGATGCTGCGCGTGGGTCGCATATATCGACACATATTCGACTGGACGTATTTTGGCGCAGCGATACGGGAAAGGTTAGCGGAGCTGTATATAAGTCAACACATATAATTTTGATTACTGATTTCTTAGAGTCTTACATACATTACATTAAATTAGAGGCACTATAAGTAATTTAAGTGTTCCAAATAGAATTAATTATGGAAAAATTAAATATAATAAATCAAATAATTGAAAAATTATAATAAAATCAATTAATTAAAAAATTGACATTTTAGCTATTAAATATTTGTATRCAAATATAGAATATCATGAATAATAAGTATATTATAAGTTATAATAATAATAGAAACAAAAACTTCATTTATGGTGTGGTGAACAAATATGCACGTTAAAATAATTTATTTCATTACATACACAATAATTCTGATGAGATATTATCTCGGTAGTTGGTGGAATAATGGAATGTTGATTACACAAAAACAAAATAAAAATATTTAAACATTTACCATCTATAACAGACAAACTATTATCTAATATAAACCAATAAAATTAATATGTCTAATAATTAATAACACACCTATCTATTTAATATCTCTAAAAATACATTCATTTTCACCTTAACAATTGAACCATTGAGTCTTTACTTTTAGGTAAATCTTTATGTATCACATATAAACAAAAATAATTACTTTGCATCAAATATAGTTTATTTACCTAAGTTTGATGAGGATGAGAGGGCATATTACATGGTAACTGAAAATAATTATTTGATATTGTGAAAAATGTAAACAGTAATTTGATTTTATATTAATACTATAAGAGTATGAAGTACAGTTTTTTTACAAATTAAATAATTACTCAATATTCTTGTAGAGAACCTAAATCATATTATATATTAGAAGCAAGATATCTTTAATATTACTTCAATTAAAACAACAAATCCTCATCTCCTTCATCCAACATGTTACCATATTTAGCATTAGCTTCTTTCATGTCTTTCTTAAGTTGTTCTTTCTTTTTGTTAGAAATCTTCTTCTTATCTTGAATCTTCTTTAACCTTAATAACATAATTACATAACAAAATCATCTAGTAAAAGATAAAAATAAATAATTTATCTAATATATTATACAGGTTGATTCTTTTGTCATAAGCCATATAATATCAGAAAATACAAATAATAGTTAACATTTTTAAGATATTAATTTGTTCATTTTAAAATAACTGTACTCTATTCAAGTTAAGAACTATACTTGGCGGCCAACAAGTGTGCTGAGGTGTAATATTACTACATGCCAGATGGCTGATCTTGTGGAAGTAACAAATGGGTCGACTATTTAAAAAAAAATAATAGCTACTAAGTACAGTTTTTAACTTGAATACAGTAAATATAATCATACTGGATCTATAAATATACCTGTAAAATTCTTCTCTCTCTAATTCGTCAAGCTCAGAAATAATATATGCAAGTGTTTTTTCAATTCTGGGTATAATAACTAGAAAAGTAATTACCACAAGATTAGATTTATAATATATATACATATATATACATATATATACCGTGTGTCCCAAAAAGCAGGGGCCACTTTACCACTCATTACCATGTAAATATTATAATTCTGTTTGCGGGACATTAAACTAGACTAATGGATAACGCGTGCGCAATAAAACTTACATTTTTTTAAATTGCAACCCGTAATTTAAATATCATATTCGGGTTCATCCATTTTTTTCAAGCCATTTTGAGGTATCAACTTGCAACTTGTGTCCTAAACCCAAAATTGACTAAACTAGAGCTAAGTWGAATTTAAAAAATTAAAAAATTTAATTTAATTAAGTTTTTTTCTAACTGTAAGTACATACTTATGTTTTTCTTCTAAACACTATTGAACAAACAATCAATATTATTATTATTAAACTAATTAACTATTTACTATTTATGAATTATTTTCTTATTTTCTTATTACACATTATGAAATAACATAGTTAAAACATGTGTTTCAAGAAACAACATTTCTATTTTATTTTTTTAACATTACTATACATTTTTATTTACAATTTAATTTACAGAAATTACAAACATAAATTATTCAATAAACTGTTCGAAAGTTCCTCCGTTGTGTAAAGTGCATGCCTCAAATCGACGTAAACATTCACTATAGTAGTTGCTGCCAGTATTTGGTTTTTATTTAGGAGGTAACATGCGTGTATAATTTTATTCTTTAAGTAATCGCAAGTCATTATGCAAAAAATCTAAGTATCTTCTTCCCGTTAACGTTCCGTCATAAAAATGGGGCCCAAGTAACTTACCACCAATCAAACCAACCCATACATTTGTACCCCAACATGTTTGGAAATTTGTTTGCCCAGTGAGGATTTTAATTCAACCAATAACGATTATTTTGCTAATTTAATATTCCATTATTAGTAAATTTACTTTTATCAGTCCACAAAATATGATTAATTAATAATGGATTATCATCGGATGTCACCATAAACCAAGAAATAAAATTTAATAATAATAATAATAATTTTGATTGTTTGTTTTATGGTGTTTAGAATAAAAATATAAGTACGTACATTAGAATAAAACTTTAATTTAATTTAATCTTCAATTTTTTTAATTCTACTTAGCTCTAGTTTTGTAAATTTTGGGTTTAGAACACAAGTTGATACGACAAAATGGCTTGAAAAAAATCGATGAACCCGAATATTATATTTAAATTATGGGTTGTCATTTAAAAAAATATAAGTTTTATTGCACATGTGCAAGATACATGAGTTAAAACATTGTATGTCATAGAAAACTACGATCCATTAATCTAGTTTAATGTCCCGCAAACAGAATTGAAAAATATTTACATGGTAATGAGTGGTAAAGTGGCCCCCGCTTTTTGGGACACACGGTATATACAAAATAATACAATAAAGTTACAAGATAATATACTTAAAATTAAATGCATACCATGTTCAATAGCATTGACTCTTCTATTTGTTATTTTAATAACATCATCTAGAGTAACAAATGATGTCTGCAATGATGCTAATTCAACCAAAAGTTTAATTGCAGTTTGATAATTTTTTTTAAGCTTGGCCAATTGTTGACCCCCTCTAGCTAAACCTGCTAATTCATAAGTGTCTGTACCATCCTGGTAACTTTCAAAAACAGGCAATGTTACACCTACATTTAATAAATTTATTAGTATATTGTTATAATATAATACAAATACTTGTTATTACCAGCAACATTATCCTTTTTAGTGCGTATTTTTATCTGAGCTTTTGTAACATTTTGCAAGACAACTTGATTAAAATCACCAGTAGTAAATTTAGCTTCGGCCAAAGAAAATGCTGCTTCTTTCATTACTTCGCCCATCAATGTCTTTGTCTGCACATAATATAGTTACTTATTATTAACAGATTTTTAATTCAGTAAAGGAACAGATACTAAATAAAAATATTCAATTGTACCTGAATAATTTTACCAAGAATCAAACGAAATCTCATTTGTAAAGCATCAGCTTTTTTTTTTAGTAAACTATGACCTTTTTGTGCTCCCATGAGACGCCCTTTCATCATTGTTTGAGCACTAAAACATAATTAAGATCATAACTACAAATTTTAGAACACCTATATAACAAGTCTGAATAAGACTATGAATTTTAAAATCAGTTTTTTTTACACATAATGTTGTAGTGTATCAATAAACAATCAACATAGTTAATGCGCTACAATAAATTAAATCTATAATTTTGATTAAATTAGTTTAGTTTAGGAAAAGTCATTGCATTTTGCCTCCATTGTTCAATACAAATTGTATTTAAGCAATTCCTCAACAGACAACGCCCAATTTCAATACCTTATCAGTTGATTTACTCACCCACGAGATGGAAATATTGGCAATTTGTCCTTTCCCGACATGATTAATAGGTAACTTACTGTTTTGAAACTAATGAAACAATAGATAGGTAAGATATTGAAACTGTTAAATTGAGTGATTGTTAAATAACATAACGAAAATATAAAATTAACTTATCCTTAGCGAGTAGCGACCTCACTAATATTTTAGAAATCTACTGCCGAGGAGTGAGTGCTGACTTTTAGTGATAGTGATAGTATATTGCAGTGTGCACTAAACACTGGTGTGAAGGTGTGTAGTGTGTACACAAACACAATCACATTCACTACAATATGTAATTCACCAATTTACACTGTGCAGTGTACAGCATAAACTAAAATAATACTATATACACGTATATAATATATATTACTATAGTATTTTATTGTATAGGTGGGGCTAAAACTGAATTGTTTGATGTAAGTAAAACAGCTGACTAATGATAACAGAATTTAAAATCTTTTGTGTTGATTACATGGCATATAAAACAATAATTATGTCTATGGTTGATTATCGGTGATAGTTAATTGATAAGAGACAACACGGATATAGATACCATGGTTGGACTGGTTGGAGTGGTTGGACTGTCCGTCGTCCGACTTGGACACAGCTGCTTGTTCAGATTGCTGGACCGGCGCTCTCACAAATACAATATGTCAAAGTTTTAAATTTTTAATAAATACTTAAGTAGCATGATTAAAGAATAAAGATATAGGTATCTAAATTAAATTTTTGTAGTTCACTAGTTCCTTAGTTTGTCATAATGCCACAACCACGGTATACAAGTATATTTATTATTATTCCATTTAAAAGTTAATAAGTTTAACTTATTGTCTGGTTAGTCGTTATTAAATTAATAGTTAAGACATGTGACAAGGATTTCTAATTTGGCCTGCAATATTAAATGACATAATATCTAATATGAGCAATCAAAGCTTGAAAGCTCTCAAACACGGCCATTATGAGGTTGTGCCAGAAAAACTATATTTTATGACAATAGGTCAATAGTAAATCGCGGGAATTCGAAAAAACGAGGGCTAACATTTGATAACAAATATGATAATCACGGAATATTTTAAATTTCAGAAAGTACTTAAGTTTTAATTTTAATTATTATTTTTGGTTGATCATTGATCCATATTCCATAGGCACTATAGGTAACTGCATTTCGGCTATTTCGATATTTTATATCAATATAGACAATATAAGACAGTATTATTTCATTATATTGTATATTTTGTTAACATAATTCCAAAATGATTTATAACATTTAGATTAAACTATATAATAATGAAGTTTCGTGGTAAAATTATTGATCCTCATTGCATGAAGCAGTTCTACAGTAAATATGAAATATGATGGTTTATTATTTTTATATTAATACATTTTTTTATACAGGTATTGTGATTATTTTATCCAAACTATGTAGAAATGTTGTTTTGAGGCTGAGTTCTACTAAATTATACTTAATCGCTTCAAATGAGTCTAACAGTAATCAAATTAGTGTTTGGTCTGTATTAGACCAACAGTCATTTTTCAAAGACTATGACATGATTGGTGAAACAGAATATAATGAAATTTTATTCAGTTTGCCAATTGGTAAGTATTATGTAATTGTCATTGCAAACAATATTGTACTACTTTTACCATTTAAAAGAGTATTAAAATGTTACTCTGTATCTATTCTTATATTCCATATATTTTATTTAATCTGTCTTATAAAGAAAATTATTATGGATGAATTAAATGAAGCTCATATTGATATATTAATTAATAATTTTTTAATGTATCTATATCTAATCAATAATCATCTTTGACGAGAGTAAAATTCATTCAAAAGATTTCCAACAAATTGAGCTTACATTTGTTTTATATATATGTATACCAAGGATTGGCGCTCCAAAAAATGTTGAAGACATATTAATAATTAATTTTTTTAATTAATCTCTCAATAAATATATTTCAATTCAAATTTTTCTAGTCACAATAATAGCCATAATCTCGTATAACAAGGAAGTACTAAAAAAATTGGTCATCCCTGATGTATACATACATACATATTATAAATGTTTTTATTTAAATTTGATACTTAACTTTGTTAATTTCAAATTAAATAAATACATATTTAAGTGTTTGTCGTTCAGTCTTTAATATTAGACATGAGGATATCTACAGTGGTCATTAATTTTATTTTGTTCATAGATGATTCACTAGATGAAGTTCATGTCCCTTTTAGTATAAGAACTTTATTTTCTATTGTGGATAAATTAATCGTTGAAGTAAAAAATCATTTTTAAAAGCTTCCAATCATGTTCAAAAGTTTTAAAAAAAATGGATCTAAATTTGAATCTTCCAACTGAACCAATAATTCTTAGATAGGATAAATTAAGGAGAAGTGTATTAAAATACTATTGAAAATATTTAAAAAATAAAAATAAAAATGGAAGCGTTAATGCAATGTTTGATCCAAATTCAGCAGTTTTTATTTAAACAAAGCTAAGATGATTAAAATAAATTAAATTAACTTTATATATATGTTACGGGCTAAGTGGAAAATTTGGACAATGTATACAATGCCCGGGCATTGTATACAGTGACCGGGCATTGTATACAATGTCCGAGGTATATTGGGCAATGTAAATTGTTAAGTATTTATACAAAATAATCTGCATAATAAATTATGTTTAATCATCAAATGATAAATTAGCTT